TTCTTCGATGGGTGTCGGCGCAATCAGTTCCGCGAAAGGCAGGGGCGTCGATAGCAGTGCAAGAGACGGGACCAGAATCACAGAGCGACCGGTGCCATTTTCCATGGTTGGGTGCATGGGAGCGTGGATGTACGCCTGACGCCGCTACCGATGGGTTCGAGTTGTGACGATCACACGACACAGGTCAAGCTCGCTGCTCTTGAATGGTCCAGCTCGTTCTTGTTTAGCTCCTCCGAGTCCTTGTCTGCGCCCAGCTGCTCTCGAAAAGTTCCGGGGAAACTTTCCGTACTGCCATCGACCGACAGAACACATGAAAATTAGCTGCGCCATTCTCTCGACAGCGGAATGACCCCAGAGTCCTCAAGCGATCATGCACATCCCTATTGGTTGCCTACGGGAATAGCTCCGGGGATCCAGAACAAGTAGCGCTGGGGGTGCTGCGCCGGGATATTCGGAGGCTCCGAGAGAGTCACGTAAATGAGCTGAAACCGCTCATACAAATGTTACTAGCCTTGGAATGTCTGCGCATTATTTTCCTTATTCCCGAATACTGACCCTTGCCTATGTGTGCCAGCAAAAAAAGAGATCCTCGAAGGATGCGGGAGATCAAGAGCCAATCCGATAATTCGAGGGCTCATTAGAGGCTTAAGAAACAGCACCGCTTCATTCAGGCTCTATCGTTTATTCTCCCGAGTTTATGAGCTCAATAAAATGTGGGAGTCACACAGCTGAGTATCGTCGTTCTCGATTCCGCTGTGATGGCGCGCGGAGCTTCAACGAACTCGACGAAACTCTGTACGGTTGTCACGAACCATATCCGCACGACCTCCGCGGCTCGATTTTCGGTACCTCTACAAATAGGTAATGTCGCACCCGAAGGGTGATGCAACTTCGGGTGCGACAACAACTGCTTGCGAAGCTGCTGAAACTCTACGGCTGAGATTAACGCCGGGAAGAGCTCGAGCAACATTCCAGCCAAAAAGTTGCTCCGAACGGAGACGATATTTTCGGAGAACGTCGTCGAGGTGAGGAGCCCGCGATCGATGAAGACGCTCAAGAGGAATTAATGTACTGGAATCAATAAAAACTACAATCGATGCCACCCGCGTCAATCCGCCGGTCGAACTTTCA